CCTTGACCTTGACAATATACGTCAAAAGTTTAAGTTTATCAAAGTTGCTTTTGTTGTTGTCAATAAATTATTTTCGACAACTTTTGCATTTTCGCGTATTAATCGGGACATTTCATCAATTCTCGGAATTTTGAGAAATTAGAAAATCTGAGAATTACGAGTTTCGTCACTTGGGTCTTGTTCTTGCTCAAGAATAATCATAACATAATACATTGTCCTCAAGAGACTTAAAATAAATGATTCTATTCGCAACTTTATTTATTCAACTATATATAGATGTATACCTCGTTTGTGTGCCGCAGATCTTTCCGGAATTTACATAAAATACAAAACACACGAATAATTAAATATCAATATAATATATGAAATCAACATAGAATATATCTCGTATAATTTATTTATTTTAAATGATAATTATTTGACAAATGCATTAATCTTTTTCTCAGTAAAAAGATCTAAATTAGTTATTGTTTTATATAATTATAAAGTAATTGAAATAATGTACGCGCGTAATAAAATAAATTTTATAAGGAAAAATCATGTGTGTTTAACTTCAAGTTTATTTTTATATTAATTATTAAGCATAACTTTAAAGATATGTAATGTTAACAATTTAAAAGTTATCCATATAATAAAATGCTATAACAATTTACTGGCAATTGATAGCAAATTTGATCATTTTCTATTGCAAATTCATATAATAATTTATTGGTATAGTATGTTAGCAGGCTTTGTATATTCCAGTCAACACAAGTGTTACATTACAGTCATATAGTTGTATGAAAAATTACAACAGATACATAGTACATTAGATATAAATTCGTAATTGTTGGGTTTTTAGAGTCAGTTTGATAAATAGATATTAAACATATTCTATAATAAGCCGTCATACTTTAAGCAGTGTTTAAGCCTTGGCGAGTCACAGTCAAATGTGAGAATATAATCGACTGTGGTTTGTTAATTTCTTACGACTTTTTTAGTCTATATTTTATAATTTTTAACAATGGTAACTGTAGTGTTACAATGTCGTTGCGTAGCTTTTGTATGGGATAAAAAATTGTGTAACAACACTGTAAGAGTCTGCGCACAATAATGAAGGAAATATTATATAAATATATATAGAAACAGAAATAAAAATATTAAGATTTTAATTTATCAGAAACCAGTTACACTGAAATTCGGTTTCTGAGATAGATTAAAACCTTATAATATTTCCCTATTTCTATTCCATATTTCCTCCTATTGTGTTTTAAATCCTAATATTATACTATCTATTTACAGTTTTAAGAGTTGAAGAAGGCTTCCTTTATCACAGCTTAGGTAACGCGGTTTATTAAAGAAAATTAATTATTCTGTATAAAATTTGTTACTTTTCTGCCAGAAATTTCGAAAATTGCTATTGTACTCAAAATGTTTCTATAAGTTTAGCTATATGGGTAAACAATTTTATATTTTTGCTATGGAAAGATCAACTTAAAAAAATTGTAGATAAATTATGTGAAATTTTTCGTTTATAAATATATTATTCTAATATAAGGTTATATATTTATCAAACGAAAAATTTTCCATTGCAATTGAAAAACTATTATATTAAAATATTTTGATTATAACAATTTATAATACATTTAAATTAGGTAATAAAACAAATTTTATCTGTTTATAGTTTGCGTAATGCTTGTATCCGATGGTTTATGAGTACGAAGAAGTGGAAAGTCACAAAACGCAAATTACATTGTATTCATTATGAAATTTAAATTTCATAAATTCAATTTTATTATTTACACAAAGCATACTTGTATGAATGCTTTAAGGAAATTGTCATAATTTATAACGATATTATAATAATTATCATAACAAATTATATTATAAATAATTATTAATATTAGTTACATAATAATTACAATTAGTAATAATTATTTATAACTATTTATAATTCTTTATTAATAATTAACAGATTAATTAAATTTAATCATGACAAAAAGTTATGATACGTACTATATCAAAACTCGGAATTATAAATACAATTATTATATCAATATTATGATGCAATTATTATAAAGTTATAACTATAGAATTATTGTAAGATATTTTATAATTTTTATAGTAGATTGTAAAAAGCTAGCTTATCCTTATATTTCCAGAAATATGATTACGATGTATTAATAAATAAACAAATTAGTATCGTTGTGTATTTGTCTTAGCGCCGCGATACTATACCTTGTCTTCTGATAAAAACAATTTGTAATGTTTCTCTTGTATCAACATAAAAAGGAAATGTTGAAACTAATATTTCCAGAATAATTATTATAACAAAAGTTATAATAATGCAATTGTGACAAAGTTATAACAACCACTATAACAAAACTATGACAAAATTATTTACATGAAATTATATGTACATAATAATAATTGTTTTATTATAACAAAGTTATGATTCCGTTATTATAACAAAGCTGTAACGATGGAATTGTTATAAGAGATATTTTATTATTAATTTTTTATATAGTAAAGTATAAGAAGCTAGCTTATTTTTATATTTCCAAAAATTTGAAAGTAACACATCAAATAAGAAGCCTGCAATTTGTAATGTTTCTTTTCTTGCATTAACATAAAAGGGATTCATGTTTAAATTAATATTTCTTATAGAAATTATATACGTATTAAGTGTATAATTGATGAACAAAATTTCTTTCTAATTATACAGAAAGAAATTGCATTTCTCTTTTTAAATATTTCGCGAATATAATTTGTATAACCATTTAACTCTTCTTAATTTTTTTAGTTAAAAATAATTCGGATATATTATAAAAGAAAAAAAACAAACAGGAATGAGCATTTTTTATATTTGTAAAACGATCAATATATTATACTCATAATAACATGTGTTCATGCAGGATTTCAACAAGAGTTAACAATTATAATAATCATTATATAATTATAATAATCATTATATAATTATAATAATCATCAATTATAATATATCATATCTATTCAAATATGTTTGTTTTCTTTTTTCTTATTTGAGTATATGTATATACTCGCAGATGCTGTTATTTTATATTATATTTATTAATTATTTTAGAATATATTTTCAGTAATTATAAAAATAGATTGAAATGAATTCAAAGTTTCATACATACGCATTTGCATAAATATTAAGATAAATCTTTTCAATCCTAATTTTTATTTATTTATATATAAAGAAATTGCATATGTATACATACATATAGTACTAAAATTGACAAGTTTTCTCTACAAAATGGCGTTTGTTTGAATTTTTTTTTATCAATCTTTTTCGGCCCATCCAAAAACAGAAATCGAATCACAGACCGATATTGCTCTTTTTCCAAACTTTTTTTTTTTTTTTTGATTGCAAACAAGCATATACTTTATATTTAAAATGGATTAAAAGAATCTATTTTACATTTTGTATTTTAAATACACTTTTTAAAAGTATTTTATATTTAGTATTTTAAATGGAATTTGAACGGCATTTTACCCAGCCCTTTCATATATTTATATACGTCCCTTTTACCATACCGAGCACAGTGTCTCTATAAAGTTATTAAAAGCTTTATCAAGATCGAAGGTGAGATAGCTCAAGTAAGTAGTTACCAAATTTTGGAGTAGCGGTTTTCGCGAGTAACTATTCAATATCTTGATGGTATTGAACTTATATATATGAAATTGTATAACAAATGTGAAAAGAAATGATAATAGTACCTATGTGGATAATAACAATGTGAATGGTGTAAATAATTATTCTGATTGGTGTTTCCAGACGGTATTGCACACGTCTTAAGGAAAAAGCGAAGAAAAGGAAAGGTAGAGGTCATGACGCGGAATTGGTGTCTACGAGAGATGACGTTTGGGCATTATGAATTTGGTTGAAGAAGACGATAATGAACCTGGACCTCAGAGATGTAAGAATATCTTTGTCACTTGCTAATTTGAATTACAGGATTTATTTTCTTATTTTTATTTGTAAGATTTTGAAACAGTTAATATTTTTCATATAATTTTAGTTGTAGAAGGATGGATCTTATTTATAAATTCAGTACATATGAAGAAGCACAGGAGGATGATATTCAGGATAAGTTCTCTGAGTTTGGTCAAATCAAGAACTTGCATTTGAATTTAGATAGAAGAACGGGATTTTGAAAGGTTATGCATTGGTGGAATATACCTTAAACCTTTAAGGAAGCACAAGCTGCGAAGGAGGCTTTAAATGGTACCGAAATCTTCGGTCAAGCTATCTCTGTCGATTGGTGCTCGTAAAAGGACCAAAAAAGTGTTATATAATTATTTAAATGCAGTTCTTTAAACTGATATAATATTTGGATTTATATATAAATATTTATGTTTTATATTTTTCTATTTTTAGAATCGGAAAAAGAAGTCACAGAAGGCGATGAGAGTTATAGATTATTCTTCTTATGTATCGTCATTTCTGCATCTAATTATCTTCTATTATGTATCGTCATTTGAAGCAAGACAAGTTATTTTATTTATATTTGATGATCGTTTTAAAAATGCTCAAAATAACTACTTTCTTTACCAGAACTTTTGCTTTTGTTCTATACATCTATCCATACAAAATTTTGTATGCTATCATTAGTTAGTGAATAGAAGATCATGAATAAGTCATTAAAATATAGTCTGTTGTATAAACGAGAACATCACTATTTTATGTCAATATTTCCATTTTCTTTTATCTAAATATTTAGTAATTTTTGGTCTCACATTTAATACCATGCTTTATACTAGTTTGCGTAAAATAAATGTTATTAAAATCTTATTTTTGTGGCAACACGACTTATGTATAACTTCGAGTACATGTAATATTTGATGAAAATATATCAAATCCGATAAAAATATATCAAATATGTGTGAAATCTGATTTTTTAATTCATTGCGAAAGGATATTTGAGCAGTATGAGTAGAGAAGATAAGAATTTGTGACAAAACAAGCAAAATTAACATGTTTTTTAATTGTCTCAATACATGGCATATTTAGTCATTATTTTTTTGTGTATCTTGTCGAAAGATGAAGTAGTGAAGAGTTAGAGATGTGTTTCTATATTTATTATACAAAAGATATATCCTAATAGATAAATGACGCAACACAGCATATTAAGCATAATAATTCAGATTTGCTTTCTTTTTCGCTTGGACTTCATTAATAGCTTCCATCAAATCTTCGTGAGTAACTTCTGTTGCGTTGCGCCGTAACGCTATCATGCCCTAAAACATGTTTTTATCATTAATCTAACAAATTATATATGCATGTAGCAAGATCGAGTAGGAGCATTAACTGAAAGGGGCAATATATTCTTGAGTAAAGTATGGTTTAGATTAGCGTTAAAATAATACATTAATGAAATATATGTAGATAGAAGAGATATAATTTTATATTTAACATTGAATTAAAGAGCAGTTGATGCTTGCTATTATTGAATTAAATGCTTACCGCTTCTACACATACAGCTTTACATTGTGCTCCATTAAAATCATCCGTGGATCTAGATAATTCTTCGAAATTTACATCTGGCGACATATTCATTTTACGCGAATGAATTTGCATAATACGAGCTCTGGCTTCCTCGTTGGGATGTGGGAACTCGATTTTTCTGTCCAAACGGCCTGATCGCAGCAAGGCTGGATCCAAGATATCAACTCTATTCGTGGCAGCAATCACTTTGATATCAGCGGTCGAACTGAAGCCGTCTAATTGATTTAACAGTTCCAACATCGTACGTTGTACCTCTCTGTCTCCTGCTTTTTCTGAATCAAAACGTTTTGTGCCGATAGCATCCAACTCATCAATAAATATTATTGCTGGGGCTTTCTCTTTGGCCAAAGAAAACGCATCTCTGACTAATTTAGCACCATCACCAATAAACATTTGAACCAACTGTGGACCAGCTAATTTTAAGAAGGTAGATTTTGTTTGGGCGGCACAGGCTCTAGCTAATAAAGTCTTTCCGGTTCCAGGTGGACCATAGAGTAGAACGCCCTTGGGGGGTTGTATTCCTAGGTTCTCGAATTTCTCCTTGTGCGTCATAGGCAACACAACGGCCTCAATGAGTTCCTGAATTTGCTTATCCAATCCACCGATGTCAGAGTATTGCTCTGTAGGCCTCTCATCTACTTCCATAGCTTTGACTCTGGCATCATATTCAGCTGGCAAAGTCTCCAGCACTAGGTAACTGTCTTTGTTCACACCTACCAAGTCACCTGGTTTCAGCGATTCGGCGTCGACCAGACCGATCACAGGGAGGAAGTATGTCTGGCGAGTTGACGTCTTTATGACTGCGCATTTGCCCTTTCTTTGCGCATCTAAATCAACCACCGCTCCATCTTCCTCTCCCATATCTTGTGGATCGACATCTAATAGCTCGATGACATTGGATACCAGGTATGGGAGAGTTTTGTTCACTTTGATCTTCTCAGTATTCTCCTTGATCTTATCGTTCTGTGCCTGAAGCTCATGAGAAATCCGCATAACCTCGCTCTTCATTATCTTGATTTCATTATCTAACAGTCGTGTACGTGACACAATTTCGTCTGTAGACATTCGTAGGACGTCCTCTCCCAATGTTTCCTATGAAAGACATATCACATAAATAGTTCTTCTTTTTATAAAGTTTTTCTTTACAAAAATATTTAAATTCCTTATTTAAGAGAGAAAATAAATACAACTTTATGTTGAGTAACATAAATTTAAAAAATTTAGAATTTGCAGATAAAATGAAACCAAATAAACAATAACATATTTTAATTAAACTATTTCTCCTTATAATCTGTTTTGCAAAGTGAAAAAATGTTAACTCATTATTCATTATTACTGTAATATACTCTTAGATCTATTTATATTGAAAGAACAGATTAACTCAAGAACTTAGCGACAGCTTAATTAATATAAATTTCAAGAAAATATAATTTCAGAGAAAGAAATATACAACATAAACACTTGTTTTATATTCGTATTTTATAAAATATCCTTTTTATATTATTTGCATTTAAGCAAAGTAAGTTTTCCAATTATGCAGGCAGAAAAAAATAAACTGATTATAAGAGAATTAAAAGAAACAACTAAAGAAAAAGATTAGATCTAAAATCTATGTTGATTGTTGTGTCAGTCGCAAAGTACAGCAGGATATAGACATACAGGATGTACGTGCGTATAAATAACGCCTACTAATTATAGTGTTATTCTCTAAAAAACTAAGTCAAAAAATTAAGAATAGTTATATGATTAGTGAGCGTTATTTAAGATACATCTGGTATACACGCTTGAAGATATGCTTGTCATTCGTGCCATAACCTGCAAAATGCAAAATCATATACCTCTCCATCTTCCCAAATAGATTTATCCTCGAGCGTGGCCATTGAAAAGTGTACAAGAAGCTCTTCACTTGCTAGCTCTTCCTGACACACTGTGACTGTCCTACACCACAGATGTCTTATAGTATAGACATCTGTGTCCTACACACATGCAAAAAATTCTTTAAAAATTAATTTCGAAACCACAATGGTAACAGCAGCAGCACTAGCAGCAGCTGATGCAGCGCCAGTGGTATATGCGTTAAGTTACAGTAGGCGCGAAAGATTTTGGTGCCTTTGGTGGACTCGGGGCAAGATAAGTTGTTTGTTAGCAATATTTTTCAATTATATCTTACTTCTAATTGATCGGAAAGGTAAAATTTGGCAATGTTGGCATAAGATAAGATGTAAATAGTTAAATTAAATAAATTTTTATTACACTAAAACCGCGGCCGCTTTTTTTTACCTGTTTAATTTATCTTTTCCAATTAATTTTTTTCACGTAGATGATGACGTTTCCACGTAAAGTTAGATTTACCTTGAACCGCGATTGAATTTATTCTTTTTTTGTAAAAAAATTCTTATATAATTTTCAAAATTGAAACAAAGACTCTAATTGAAATTGATACGTTACTGAGTTCTCCTTCAATGCGCACGCGTCAGAAAAGCGACCTGTCTATGTTCTGTGCTGTCTATATAGGGGTGCGTTTAGAATCGTCGTCCGGATGCACCTAGATGTTGTTTTATCCTTGTTGTTCATAAATGATAAACAAGGATACCACGACACCTGGATGTACTGAAATGATGATTCTGAACGCAGCTCAGCAACACTGCCGAAAACAGTTTTGCGCTCTTCGGACAGTTCAGAAAATCTGCTACTTGTAACGTCGTAACAGCAGTTGTGTCAAATGTGATCATACCGACTGATCAAGAATCAGTTAAAAATAATAAGGGACAATCTCAAAAGATGGCTGTACTTGTCGATTTTAATTTTTATTGTGTTTAAGTTTTGATAACTGATTGATTAAATTATCAACAATTATACATTTGTTGATTAAATTAATTAGAGTTTTTACGAATCTAAACTTATGATATTAAGTTGCCTTTAATATGCTTTTTCAGAAACTTATAAATTTGTCTTTTAAAATACTATTTATTGAATATTAATGTACTTTTTAAGTAACAAAATCATCAAAAATAATAAAAAATTTAAGAATTCTTTTCCTTCCTTTCTTTTAAAAATTTATATTTAACAAATTTGACTTTCATGAATCAATTATTAAGGCACAAGTACATACATAATATTTTTGTGTGCGTGGAAATTAATTGAATGTCCCAATTTTAATAAAAGATATTATCCTTTTTATATGCAAGCAGAATTTTTTATTTTTGTATATAAATTGCTGCAAATGTAAACGCACAGCTGTGCTTTTTTTTAAATGTGACTGCATCTTTATGTAATATTAGATATATTTAATTTGATTTTTAATTCGATAAAAAGTATCGAAGAGACACGATTGAGCTTGTAAGTACAATTATTATTAGAAAATAGTGTTATCGTGTGTAATCTTTGTATAAAAAATATAAATAATTATAAAAAATAATCGCGATAATGAATTAAGAAAAGTGAGCATTTATCTTCAAATTTTACTTTATGTAGGTACGTTCATTGTAAGTACGAATTCCCACATAATATTGTGAAATGAAGAAAAATGGAGACATTATTCGATGAGATGCATCGGCAAGTTTGAGGATAATAACTTGCGATGGGCATGTGTGGGATCTGCAATACAGTCACGCTCAAAGACGCGCCATTTATACTTTCACCGAGTTGTGCATATGAGGGACTGCATTGTCTGCACGTTTTCCAAGGTATATTGCGGCTCTTGCATCTCCGGGGGGGTGTACCTACGGTTTCAGGCTAATCGGGAAGTAACGAGTTCGCAACGGATAGCTGCAGCTTTCATTAAACTCTATTAACGCTAATTAGAGAATAACTGAAGGCTAATTACAGAATAATTGTGCCATATAAATAAACATCTACATGAGTCTGCGGTGAGGATAGTTAATAAGTGAGTTAATTTGCAGACCGATGTATATGTATATCGCATTGCGGTTTGAACATCAAATCTTACTTTAGGGACGATTCGCTCGCCGTTGTCGCAACTTGTCTCAGTGCAATAATTTTTAATTATGATTGGGCTTTGTGAAGCACAAAATAGCGTTACAACAAGCTGTTAAATACTCGTGATGTGTTTCGCAGAATAAATAATGTAATTGAGAAACGTATTGTCCAAGTAATCTTGTATTCTTCATAAATATGCATTTACGTTTCAATAATTTACTCTATAATATAAAAATCTATAATTATAATAAATTTGTAATATAGAGTAAAATTTAGTACATACTAAGTGTGCTGTTTTTAGAAATAAAAGAACATGGAATAGCGTCAATGTAACTGGAAGATTATAAAGTATATCTATATATCAATTGTAACAAAAAAAATGTGGTAATTTTAGCCCAATTGAAATAATTTTGGCCAAATTTAAAAACCTAGATAAATTACATTCGAAAGGATATTAGATATAAAACATTTTTTAAAAGCGTTTATTTTTGTAAGACATCTTATGTCCTGATTTTTAATACAGTATGCATGCAGTTCTGGCATTATCAAAATTTGGACCAAAGTTACTTCGATATTTTGAGCCAAAGTTATTTTATCTTTGGTGTATTTGTACTTTATCCATTGGTATCGAAAAGAATGTCGTGTTCTGGCACAGAAAGTTCGGTGCTCGATAAATCGACAGTGCTCCAACTCTTTTTACCGGTAGCTAACTACCGCGTTCTGTTAAGCACGATCCCGGATCGCATAAAATATCAAATTTCACCGCGACTATGAAGTCCGGCGTTCTAAGAGAAGTGCCCAGGAATTTTGTAACTTTTATCGTGGGCGTGCAATATCGCGGGAATACATTATCGAATTTCCATATCGACATGCTGTCGTTAAAGGGCTACGCCAACCCAAACGTTTTATAACCGGCCGTAACTTAAAGCCGTGCATTATCAACCTTACGAGACACTTGGTCATCTCCCAGAGAGTCCGTAACATGTATAGTAATCCTTCGATAAAGCGCAACGAAAGCACACTCCCAAATGTGTTCTCAAACAATGGAGAGAGGTACTAAATTTTATGTCAGGCGCATGGCTTTCGTTTCGCATTGCACTGATCCTTCTCTATAAACGAAAGAAAAGTGTTTTTTGATTCTTTCTTGATGATTCACCGTTGTTTTAGGATTATTGATAATTTATAATATCTCAATTTTCAGCTCGTTTAATGTAAATCAATATATAAAGTTAAAACAAATTAATGGAATGTTTATTACCTTTTTCTCGAGATTTCGAGAGAATTTATACATGTGTTATAAAACTAAGACCATAACTTTTTACGTGTGTTTAATGATAGACTTAAATTTCCTTTCAAAATCTACTTTTAATTTTAAAATTCTCTAATTCTATGTATACATACGAGTATATAAACATAAGAAAATTAACGTAAAAGATAGAGGCATTGTTTGTAATACAAGAGGTAAACCGCTAACCAAAATTATGTACACCAATACCTACTAATGCCCAGTAATGCCCAAGTATAATACCCAATTTTTATGTCCCTATGCCTAGTAATACTCTACAATGCCCAGTAATGCATAACCTCATACTGCTTATTATAATATACACAATTCTCTTAAGAGTGCCCGGTAACGCCCCAAATCTGTACCGCAACGCCCTCAGGATTTACTCTCCCTTGTTGTAATATTTTTAAATTACAGCACTTACATCAATATCTTTATTTTTAAGAATAAATATATAAATAAATAAAAACATTGTAAGTCGAGATTATCTTGTTATAGACTAAGTAACTTTATAACACACTCTCTTTTTTTCATTTATTTGAACTTTTGAAGATTATAAACAATGAAGCAATCGAATAAAAATAAGACAGTATAATAATTATATAGCTTATATAATTACTAACTACAAATTATTCGTGATTAATAATTGATAATTAATCTTAATGATTAGTTTAGTTGTAAACTACATTTATAATAACCAACTGTTAAAATTAGAAAAATCATTGATTATTGACATCGTCTGAGGAATATAAAGGATATGTCAATATATATAGTAACAGAATTTGTTATCAACAATTTTTTGACGAGAACATAATTAAACGCGATCATATTTCGCACGTTAACGAACGAGTTTTCCAAGTTTAATAAGTTACATGATTCCCAACACAATGTAAGATGATTCATTTTCGATACGATTGGGATGTGCAAAACGAGAGATATAATATCAAAGATATCTAGATGTGTCCCCGCTTCATTACTTCGCTGATAAAAGCTAACACGTACCATATAATTAATGTTTCTCCTGATTCTCATAAATTTCGTATAATTCTCTGACCCTTTTGTTCTAACGATAAAGAATCGTTCCAAGTATCGTTCATGATTATAGTTTGTTCAGTCTCTTTTAATCTTCTGGTTAAAACAACCATGAAACTCGATATTAATTTTTATCTTCTTAAGATGAAGATTGTAACAGAGCCTTTATTTATTTAAAAAGAGTTAAACGACGGTTTGAATAAATTTAAGTTGAATTTTTAGAAGCTTATCAGCACGATTATTGTATTAGATAATTGTTGTTCTATATTATTTTGGTATTGATAGATTTTTTATTTCCCAATTTCTCGATACAGAGACATTGAAGTTGCAGTTACACGCGAGATACATGTAACTGCGTCTCATTGAAATGCTAAATAGCAACCACGTAAATGCGCGCTAATTAAGCACGAATATTATTCCCTACGAACGTTGTTCAATGAATCTGATATTCGCGTTGTGTTTTTCATTATTTCGCTTGACGGATTAATTACTGACAGCTCATTGAATGTCCGATAATGCAAAAAAATCTTATGAAATACTTTTTTGTACGCTCTCTGTTACAATACCGCATATAAGAATCAGCGATATATTAATTTATTAATATATTGAATGATGATCAACGTTATCGCATGCGGTAATTAATTGCGTAATAATTAACCATTATCGAACGGCAAAGATAAAAGATACACGAAAATATAATATATTAATAATGATACTATAAATGGGATTTTTGTAGATCATAAAAGCT